CCCAAGAGATTGTTAGGAGTTATAATAGGAATAATATTTTCCCTAGATGTGCTTTAAAGATAGACCTTCAAAAGGCTTTTGACTCCATTGTTTGGGATTTTATTGATGTTATTCTGAAGGCTTTGGGCCTGCGTGAGAAATTTATTGGCTGTAATTGGGCATGTTTCACCAAACCGAGTTATTCAATCATGTTTAATGGCAGCCTCGTTGACTACTTTAGGGGTGCTCGGGATGTCAGGCAAGGCGAACCTCTTTCGCCTTACCTCTTTGTACTCGCCATGAACGTTTTATCAAATCTGTTGAATGTGGCTACTCTTAGGGGAATTTTTAAGTTCCATCCTAAATGTAAAATGATAAGCTTGACTCATCTTTTCTTTGTGGATAACCTTCTTATTTTCTTTAAAGCTTCCATTGACTCTATTATTGGTGTGCAAACTATACTGGGTTTTCTACTCTATCTCTGGGCTTAAACTGAATATCAGTAAATTTGAGATGTTTGTTGCTGGGTTGTCTGTTGTTCAGTGTAGATATATAAGTGAGATTGTGAGTTTTAAAACAGGGAAGCTCCTGTTCGATACTTGGGTATCCCTCTGGTGACAAAGAAACTTACTGAGGCAGACTGTCAGCCTCTTATTGATAAAATAGGGCGCGTTTGAACCTTTGGGTTAACAAGCATTTGAGATTTGCTGGCAGACTCCAACTGGTATGTGATGTTCTTTTTAGTTTGACAACTACTGGTGTAGGTAGATTGTGCTTCCTACTGTGGTGATCAGAAAGGTGGAACAAATGTGTTATCGCTTCTTTTGGAAGGGAGCTGACTTGCATGCAAAGGGAGCTCGGGTGATTTGGAAGCAGATTTGTCTTCTGAAGTCTAAAGGGGTATCGGGGTCATTGATATTCTTGGTTGGAACAAGGCTTGTGCTGTGAAGCTAATAAGGAACTTGGTGGCAGAGGAGGGTTCCTTATGGGTGGCGTGGATTCATTCATACATAATTAAAAGCTTTGATTTCTGGCAGATGAACTTACCTACAAATCTAGTTGGAGCTTCAAGAAGCTGCTAAAGTTGATGCATTTTGTTCATCATTTATTTGCTAGCCGAGGCAAAGAACTTAGCACAATACGGATTTGGGAGGACATTCCCCCCATGGCACCGAAGGTTGTTGGCACCACCTGGTTTTGTTCTCTGGGTATCCCTAAGTACAATATAATAATATGGATGACCATCCTGGATAGGCTTCCTACTAGGGTGAGGTTGCTGCGGATGTGATTAGCTATTGATAATGATAGATGCTTGTTATGCAACTTAGAGCCTGAGACTAGAAACCATATATTCTTCGAGTGTGGTTACGCGAGAAGTCTATGGACGACCATTCTTTAACTCTGTGGTGTTAATCGCAGAGCGTGCCACTGGGATGGACGAGTTAGCTTGGGCCACGCACTGTTTTAAGGGTAAATCTCTCATCACGAGAGTGCTAAAGCTTGTTATCGAGTTATGTGTATTGCATTTGGAAAAAGAGAAATGGTAGGTTGTTTGGGGGAAATCCTAGACTTGGAATGAAATCCTGGAGGGCATTAAAGACGCTATACAGATTAGGTTGAGCGATTGCTGTAACACCCCCAACCCGTACCCGACCCGGATACGAATCCGAGGTGTCACGTTGACTTTTCAAAACGGTACTTGTACAAACTAGTGAATAATTTTAAAAATTTTATTAAAACAACTGACTATTACATAAAAGATTCATATGATTTAGAAAAACTAATTAGAGTATATCAAATTCAAATCTTTATTTACATGCCAACTACCATCCGTATTAAAATACATATATACAATGCTTTTCTGATCTGATCTTTGGAAAGGATGAACTGACTTGTCTTGCTTAACTTTTCTCATTCTTCCTCTTCTTGGTACCTACGTGTGAAACAATCACACGCTAAGTCGTGACTTAGTGAGGCATATAAAACATATAATAGAAATCATAGTACATTTCATATATCAAAATACATACATGTACATATACCATTATTACGAAATCTCTTTATCATATGATCTTGTATTTATCATTTCTGTATATCATGAACACATTTATCATTTCACAACTAAACATACATAATATCATATAATTTATGGAACATATTCCATATCACCAAAAGCATATGCATCATATGTTGAATTTGTTATTGTCTTTTTATTAGCCCATATACACCTGTGAGAACTTAAGGTATGTGAGTACATTGAGGTTGTGCACTAATGCTGTCACCACAGATCGTATAAATTTCCTCATGGGGCACCGAACATTTGTTCAGTATTCGTCCCGAAAGACTATTATGTCCCAAAAGACCACTAGATACGTCCCGAAGAACCACTGGATACGTCCCGAAGGACCACTGGATACATCCCGAAGGACTAATATACCCTCGACTCTTGGCATGCCAACTATACCACTAGTTCTCATATCATATAACATGGGCATTATCATTTATACCTTTCATATCACTTGTTCTTTCTCTTCTGTCACATACTACATGTATGTGTAACTATATATTTCATATCATACATATATCACAAGTGCATATATTCACGTAGATCATTTCATATGGCTTATATCATTCCTCATTGTTCATGTGAACTCGCATGTCATATCTTGTTCACATATGTTCATATATACATCACATAGCACATAGTATACATATAAACTTATACATGTATCCATATACATACTTTCATATACTTCGAATAACAATGCCTTATAACTTCTCACAGTTTTACCTAATCACTTATTTCACATTAATTATTTTCTAGTTTCATATATTACTTAATTCAATTTCACATAGCTTATTACCTATATAAATATTTTCTCATAACTTATCATCACATAGTTCCCATAACATTTTCCTATAGCTTCATAAATCTTTACCATATGACTCATGTATTATATGTTCATTTCAGCTCATAAATCTCTCCATATAACTTATTTTATATGTTCATATAATCACTTCTGTCAATGTCTCCTCATTTATATATTATTCTTATATTGTCCTATAAATCAATGTTATTTAACTTATCTCACTTTTAATCTAATCTCATAAGTTGGTTATACCAATTCCTATATATATATATATCTAACTCATGTAATTTATATCCTTTCTCTTGTTATCATATAAATCATTGCTATTTTACATAGTTTGTGATCCTATAGTTACTTATAATAGCATGTGTCTATCTTATCTCATATCATATAGTTCTTTAACTTATGTCTTAAATCACATATTTATTTTACATAACGTATATAATTACATCCGCTACTTAAACCAGTTCACATAACTCATCACACTAACATTTATTCACTCAATTCATGTAACAGATGCAATACATATAACATATGTACCCATTTTCATGTACTCGTGCAAATATAAGAATCACAATTCAAATAACATTTTTAGAAGTCCCTTCTTACTATAGTAACTTCATCACTGGCTCATCGCAAGCCAATATTTGATACATAAGTACAATTTAAATTGCACTCACCTTAGCCTTGCTTTGATTCGATTCTAATCCTTCGATTGTTCTGGAATGAGATTACGCTCTAAATCTACATAGTAATACATTGATACTTATCAGCATACAAATTGATATATTTCAAACTAAATCCTTAGGCTAAAAGAAAGATATTTCCATCTCTTATTGAAGGTATGCATCGATGCACTACACCATGTATCGATGCATCCCTTGACGGGTGCATCGATGCACTAACCATGCATCGGTGCATAAATCATATTCGATGTTTGTATTTTAAGCAGGTGCATCGATGCACTCCTTATGCATCAATGCATCCATGGCATTCGATGTTCAATTAATTTAAATGAGTGCATCAATGCACCTTATGCATCGATGCACTTCAACAATTTCTGGGATTTAACCTTGATGCATCGATGCACTCTGCCATAATCCTCTTTTTAAACCCGAAAATTCATCCATTTTTGCTTAAATCCTTCATGTTTCATCCCCTTTTTCATTCTTAACTCCATACACACACTTAAACCAATCTGTACTCATTTATTTCATCTTAAACCTCAAAATCCTATCCTTCATATGAAATTCAAGAATTACCTTATTTTCACAACATGTGTTAATTCCACTTCCAACACTTCATATGTCTTAACTAGATTGATGACAAGTCAAATTTAACTTTCAATTTTATTATAAACTATTTCAAGATTTCACTCAAGAACTTCAAATCTTTAATCTTCTCTAACTCCTTTATCTTTTGATTTTAAGATAACTTAAGCTTTCCTTAAACTTAGTTATCCTTAATGATCACAACTCATACTTAAAATCAACAAATAATCAACTAATCAGAAAACTTACATTTGCTATGGAGACACGGGAGGAAAGGAAGAAGAAGAAGAACAGAGAGTTTCTGGAGAATCTCTCAAGCTTATCCCATATAAATCATTATCTTATCATTTCCAATTCAAATGACCACTTTGCCCTCTAATTCATCTAATAATTACTAACAACTTTTAGGATTTATTTCCAAATAAATCATTGAACTAATCCATTGTTCTTCTTTAGTTACCAAATTCTGATACTTTACAATTTGATCACTAACCCGGTATTGAGGATGTTACAGTTGCCCTATCAACGGAACATACCCGAGGAATGTCGCCCTCTGCGCAAGCTGGAACATCGCATGATAACTGCGATATCATTTCCTTTCTTATTTCCCTGTACTCTTCTTGTATTTTCTGGTTTCTGTTGTGTGCTAGTGAGGGCTAATGCTTATACAGGTTTTGTCAGTTGTGTAATGATATTGGTTCACTTGTAGCAGTTTTTTGCTTTCTTGAGTAATAAATTCAGATTATCCAAAATATAATAGTATTAATGACTATTTTAAAATAAAAAATTAGTTGATTTTTACTTAGTTAACATTCAATTAATTTGTTATATCAATTCAATCATAGATTTTATTATATTAGAGATAGAAATATAACACAACATAATATTTTTTTTCTTTGTTCTAGTTATGGTTTAAGTAATAAATTATTGAGTTATCTCTCTAAGTTGTGATATTCTATCCATTTAATTTTACGATAAAAGTCTCACGGGAAAGTTAGGAGCGGATGTGTACTAAGCTTCCTAGGGGTCAAGTACATCATCATTTAGAGAGAAAAAATGAAATTTTGTTTTATATGTTAAGGGGAAATGGGAAATTTTTTTAAAAAATATGCATACCTATTATTTTTAAGAAAATAATATTAAAATTTTACACCCGTTCTTAAATTTCTAGATCTGTCGCCGAGTACAGTGTTACAATTGTCTATTTTATCTACTATACTCATTGGGACATTGAATGTGAAATCGAGTAGTCAAATGATTTCCCTAATATACCAACAACCGGTTGGTCTAGTGGGATGAGACACTAGATCTCTTAAGTAAGGTCAGGGGTTTGAATCCTAAAGATTGCAAACGAAACAAATTGAGTTGGGAGGGTCGCCATTGCCTTTGTAATATACGATTTCGAATTAGTTAATCAATAGATTGAATATTGATGGTTATATAAAAAAAAATTATCTTAATATAACTTGTCACATATTATTATCCTCTTTTCAAAAAACACATATTTGTTAGAATATACAACATTATTGTTTTTTAAACTTCAAGATCTCTATTTTTTACGTGATATTAGTGTATCTCATATTACCTGATATTTTAATATTTATAATACAATTTTTAAAGATAAAAATTATAATAAATAATTCTATTTCTCTTGAAATTAAAGATTATTGTTTTCAAACGTATTTGAACCAACTATCAGTGTTCTTAGAGGCATTTCGTATACTCGAATTAACGATTGTAGTTAAAAGGTGAAAGAAACGTAATGTACCAAAACTGTATATTCGTAGCCGTATAAATCATTTTCTGTTGAAAGAAAGTGACATGGAAATAGATTTGAAAGCCGCTACTATAAATTACCTTTCATTTCACCTTCACAAATTAGATTCCAGCCAAACAAACAATAAAAATATGTCATTTTCCATTTATTTCCCATTTTATTTGTTTTTCCTGCCTAGTCTTTAATCTTCACTGTTCCCTCTCTTCACTATCTTCTTCCTTCTCAGATCCTTTCGATTTCCTTCACTAATCTCTCTAATTTTTCTTCTTCTCGGCTTCATGAAGTTTTGATTTGTGGCACGCTTCACGAGGTAAGGAAGCAAATAAGTGAAACTGTTTTTTTCTTCCTTAGATTGCTGTTTGTTTGGTTGCTGAGAAAGACTGAGGATTTCATGTTTGAGTTTCGGTACTTCTTCCTTCTCAGATCCTTTCGATTTCCTTCTAATCTCTCTAATTTTTCTTTCTTCTCGGCTTCATGAAGTTTTGATTTGTGGCACGCTTCACGAGGTAAGGAAGCAATAAGTGAAAACTGTTTTTCTTCCTTAGATTGCTGTTTGTTTGGTTGTGAGAAAGACTGAGGATTTCATGTTTGAGTTTCGGTAAGAGTAGATCATTGTGAAAGAAATGCGTAATTGTTTAGTGTTACTGAAGATCTCTGTTCTCATAGGAGATTTGCACTTCTTAAATCACTGTTTTCACTCGTTTTTTTGGCTGATTTGATTGCGCTTTTTTAGTTAAGCTACTCCTGACGTTTTCATTTAGATTTTCTGTTTATTATTGGTACGCGTACGCTACTATAAGATCTAATTTAGTGTTGCTAGTTCATTTTTTCCTGAACAAATTTACGACAGCAATGAATATCATAGATGCTAGATGCGATTATTATTTTTCTGCAAATTGACCTGTTATTTATATCCTTTGAGGTTGTACCTTGCAAGAGATGAACGTGGATAGACGGATATAATCGAAAATTACTAAATATATTTGTAGATGCTGTGAAGGTTGAGAAATTTAATCAGTGGAAGTGTTAAATTGATTTTCATTATTTGTATTTTGCCTTGTACCTGTTTCTATTATTCAGTGTGTGATGGATTCGGAAGATATCTTGTCTGTCAATGCGATTGACGAGGTTGCTCTTCAAAAGGGTGTTGTTAGGCAACTTCGGGTGTCTGAGGACGACAGTGGTATTTCAGATTATGCGAATGGGAATGTTGAGAAAACCTCCGAGACTAATTTGCAGAATGAACAGGATGATAATGGAAAAGCTGGGGAAGGAAGAGAAGAAGTGAATGACTTTATGGATAGCAACGGATTGATTGATTCAATGGTAGTATGTCTTACATTCTGTTTGGGTGCTTTTATTAAGGGTTTATATTTGAGTCAGTAACAATGTATAAACTATCAATGAACAGAACTGGATGACAGCACTTCATTAATTTGCAGAATTAAGGGTTTTGCCATCATTTGATTCACTGACAGTGTACATTCAGTTATCAAATGTAAATCCTCTTATTAATTTCCATTAGTCTGAATTTCATGTTTTATGAGCGTGTCTGTCTTCATAGGAAGGGGAAGTTAAAGATAATGTGAAGCAAACCAAGCCTCGTAAGGTTCAAGGCAAGACCAAGAACGAGAAGTCCTCTGGTCCCAAAAAAGTTTCTTCAGCTTTAGTGAAGAAAAGTAGAGATGGAACAAGTGAAAAGGCAACTCCGACAGCTTCGAATGGTGGTTCTCTTGCTTCAAATTCACGTCCGAAACAACCTCTTCAAAGTAGATCAGTTAATGAAAAACAAGGCAATGCATCCAAGGTTGAAACATATAGTACTACTCATTTCTTTTATTTTCTAACCATTACTGTCATTCTGATCATTGTTCCCCCTCTCTCCGCTTCTGACAGCATTCTGAGAAATCTGGTGCACCCTTCTCTGAAGGCACTATGTACGTACTGCTTATGCATATGTTGGAAGTTCTCTTTTATCATGCAGCCTTCTTTCCATGTTATTGATTTTATTAATTAACTTAGATCCCCTGGAATTAGACTTTATGTTCGAGATGATGAAGGATACTTTCTCCTTCCATTTCTCAACTGTTCTGTTGTGTATTTTAGGGAGGAACCCAAGCTGAAACCTCTGAAGGAAGGACCTATTCATAAAGCTGAAGGAGACACAGAGTCCTCGTATCCTTTATCGTTTGTTTCATTATTACTTCTTGTCTGGGACTATGAGTTGAAATGGTTTGCAATTTGAACTTCCCTCTTGCTCTGTCTAGAAGCTTCTGGTTTGATATGATATATTCTGTTTATCCTTAATTGCTTCATAGAAGCCCCACGGAAGCTGATGCCAAACCTCGTAGGTTTGGGACTCTTCCAAATTATGGTTTCAGTTTCAAGTGTGATGAACGGGCTGAGAAAAGAAAAGAGGTTGATTCTTTGTTTAACATTCTCGAGATTTTACATAGTCTATTCTGGCAACTCTCTTATAGTACTTCTAAACCGTCTCCATTGTGTTGCGCAGTTCTACACTCAACTTGAGGAAAAGATAAATGCAAGAGAAGTAGAAAAGAGCAACTCTCAAGCAAAGTCCAAGGTGTAATTTTGTGAATATGATGACTTAAGGCCCAAAATAGTTTCTTTCTTATCTGAACAACTTTTTAAATTTATGATAGGAAACTCAAGAAGCTGAGATTAAGATTTTTAGGAAGACTTTGAACTTTAAAGCAACCCCAATGCCAAGCTTTTATCAGGAACCTTCACCTCCTAAGGTGGAACTAAAGAAGGTTTGTCAAATGCTTTTATGCTTAAAAAGCTAGGAATGCAAAAACATGCTTATTGATATTATTTATTTATTTTTTATTCTCTCTCTTGGGTGTGGGAGGATGACAGGATTGAAATGCCAAACAATACATATAGGTGTCAAGGTTACCTTTTAAGGTTTTACCATTAGGAATTTAGGATAAAACAATACCTCTGTTAACTGTTGTTAGCCATAGCTGATACATTAACTTGTAACAACTCAAACCAATGAATCGATTTTGGATAATTAGTGAAGGCCCCTCTTGAGTGAACCTGAGGCATAAAATTGACCTTCCTATTGCCTGGATGCAGATACCAACAACAAGACCTAAATCTCCAAAGCTTGGTCGGAAAAACGACTCAATTCCTTTGGACTCTGATGATACCAACAATAACAGTCACCAATCGGGTCAGCTAAGTCTAGATGAGAAAGCATCTCAGAGCATCTCTACCAAAGTAATTTCTCCTGTCCTTGCCAAGAAGCCACTACGTAAATCCCTTCCCAAACTGCCTTCTCAGAAGACTAGTTTATCCAGTGCAAAAAACGAGGATAAACCATCTAAGGCATCCGATCAGGAAAAGGCAACTGCATTGAAAGCAACCACTGCAGGGAAGATAGCTTCATCTAAAGCATCTAGTGAGGAGAATCCAACATTATCTGACGTGACAAATGAAGAGTTATCTCCAATCCAACAGTGGGAGGCAGTTCCTACAGCTGATTCGGGCGAAAGTAAGCTCAACATTGACCGTGAACCAGTGTTTGGAGAGCAAGAACCGCCGGACATTGTACAGGAGCCTATTGCACTGGAGTACTACTAAAGCATTGAGATGGTTTTTAACTTTCTAAGTGGATGTTCATAAACAAATCGCTCGACTTCATTTTGCCTAAATAAGGATGTCTAAGGCTGAATTGTTCGACGATCAAGGTATGAAAAACTCTACATTGTGGCATATGATGTTTTCTCCATTCCTGTTTGCAGCACACGTACGTCGATCTTTTACCAAATTGTCATCATTAATGTGCTTTAACGATCGACTTATTGAATATATTTTGTAAAGCTCTGGAGTTGTTTTCCGCTGCCTCATATAATCCGTGATCAATCAGGTGTAAATTGGTATTGTGAATTAAGTCTCTTAAGCTTGCTACAGTGTGTAAACGCTCTCCATTCAATCTATTTGAAATAGCTCTTGTAGATTATTTTGCAGAGATTAGATCTACACCATGACCATCATCATTCGCGAATGAGGTACGTGAATTCAAATATCCATCATCTGAAATCTGTTTTGTTTTTATCACTAATGTGTACCATTTTGGCACACATAAAAAATTGTAAATACATTATACGTTGAGAGGAGATAAACCTAAAATTTAAGGTAAAGTAGTAATCAAAGGTTATTGAACTATGTTCACATGATTGTTTGTCATTGATTTTTTAGAAGTTATAAAACGATTGTTATATTGAACTGTTACAAAATGATGATTGAGACGATAAAATAATTATAAAAAAATGGATAAATTTGAATACTATTTTGCTACGGTTTGATCAAATTGAATGATTGTTTTATTATCGAGTTTGGTTTGATCTTAGTTGAGTTTCGAGTGGTTCATGGGTTGGTTGTTTGGTGAAGTTAAATGTTGGACGGTGATGGGGTTACATATTTGATCTACATCGTTTTATAAAAACCTCATTACTTTATATAACCGTTAATTCTCCTTATTGTTATTATTAATCAATGATATATGTTATATGTTGTTATTCATGATGAGATTTATATCAAAACATTCATGTTTTATTGATCGATTTTTTTTTTTATAAAAATTGATTCAAAATCAATAAAAAGTTATTTAAAAGTTATAAATTTGAATACTATGATCTATTCTGACAATCGTCCAAGACTAATTTGGAAGTATATCGTTCATCTCATTAATTAAAAGTGGCATGGTATAAATTGATAGGCCACGGTACTGTGCAGTTGCAAGAAAAGTTTGCCGGCGACGGCTATTTGGAATTCCCATGATATACAATGGAACACAATCTCATTTCCAAGGATCCATAGCTGACAATCAAGAATCGAAACTTCTTCGAGATTGGCATCAGGTAGTTGTTCCTACATTTATGGTCAGCCTAACAAATAGATACCTTACAAGCGTGCTTATGATCCTAGGCCAGCACGAACTAAATCATCTCGGTAATAAAAAAAATTATTGTTATTCTTTAAAGTCTAAATTATTTCGGTAGTAAAAAAAATGTTGTTATTCTTTGAAGTTTAAATCACCTCAGTAGTAAAAAATTGTTGCTATTCTTTAAAGTCTCGAGTTTGAGCATTATAAATGTTAAGAGTGTGAACGTTCAATATCAAATGGTAGAGAATTATCAAAGAATAATTACTGCCTTGTAATTACCCAAAAGAAATCCGAAAATTACTCTTCATAGCCTGTAAAAGCACCCAAAAGAAACTTCAATGAATGTAATCAGCATCAAGATTTGCTAAGCAAAATCTATGAACACAGCTTGATGTTTATCTTCATTAGCTAATACCATAGGCAAAGAATGATGAGAAAACTCGGTGGATTGTACATCTTGGTCAACGGTATCAATTCCAGTGGTACGAAGACCCGGAATGAATTAATTCCTTTACAAGCATTCATATGTATTATTTGTATTGATTAAAGAAAAGTCATCACTGACCTGGGAATTTTTAACAAAATAGAAGAAATCATAGCATGGGTTAAAAAGAAGGGTAAACTATGTAAATAGTCCGTTATGTTTAGGGTATTACCAACCAGTCATCAATTTAAAAATTAAAAGGAAATAGTTCCTAATGTTGTTAATTGGTTCGATTTTAGTCTCTCAACTATTAATTTTCGTTAATCCTCTTTGTTTAAATCCCTAACATGATTCGAAGGATTAAAATTGAACGAGAATTCCCAGCTGAGGGACTAAAATTGAACGAAAATTACCAATTGAGGGACTTAAATCAAACAGATCAACAATATTAGAGATTAAAATCGAACGGATCGATAATATTAGACGCTATTTCCCTTCATTTTTAAATTAGTGATCAAAGTAGATTAAACCGAAAACATATAAAGAAACTATCAGCATATTTTACCCCTGAAAAGAAAGAGGCAAGGAGAAGTATTTCAATGAAACATTCATTTTCCATATCTTTATTTTACATGATACGGATTCAAGAATGGGGAAAAGCATAACACAGCTCTCAATTAACTACAAATCTCACTCTTTTCTACAATGGTAATGAAAAATCAAACTAAATAAAACCTCAAAAGATTACCAGAATTAACAAAAGTCAGAAAAGACAAATACATGTTATTTTTTTAACACCAAGAGGGCTTAGGAAGCAGCAGCCAAAGGAGGCGGCGTTGGAGGAACTCCATGGAAAAAGCTTTGATTCGACCCATAACTCAAATTTTCGCCAACTTTACTATCCTCTTCATCGTCTTCTTCCTCGGCGTCCCAAAGAAATCGCGCATATGATGCGAGCACAAAACTGCAAATTTCATCAAAAAGAGCATATAGATTTACGTTATTAACCGTATGTAATATAACCCATAGCTTAGAATTTGGTTCCGAGGGTATTTACCAGTCATCAGGGGCAGCTTTAACAGCTTGATCAAAGTAAGTTTCAGCTCTGGGGCCATCTTTGTGAGTTTGCCAGATTAAATCGGCATACGAAGACAGAACATTCCCATCATTTGGATTTGCCAAGATTGCTCGCCCGTAATATTCCTCGGCTTTCACCGAATCCCCACGTACCTGTTTTGGATTTCATATATTAGATCAAACTCAGATACCCAGAATTCATTTTAATCAATTTATTGGGAAGAAATAAGTAAATTACCTCTTTTAAGAATCTAGCGTAATTGCCGAGGAGAAGAGAATTTCCAGGATTAGCTTGGATCATTTTCTGATAATAAGAATCGGTGACGTCATTTCCGTTATTCGGATCCCAATAGCCCCATTCGTTATCACCACCGTCGGATCCGCCGCCGCTGCCTTCTCTACCGCCACCGCCTATCCCGCACTCTTCCTCAACTCCAAGAGACGCCGCTCTCAACCACTCAAATCCAGCTTCCTCTTTCTCCACCTCCTCTTCTTCCTCAACACAAACTCCGCTCAAAATTCCACTACCCTTATTACGGGCTTTCATCATCGGAACCACCAGGTCCCTCAGATCCGTCTCCGACACTGCCCTCTTCATCTTCCGAGTCAAATCGTCGCTCGATCCAACGGAACACGAAACTGTGAACGAAACAGTTCGGGTTCGGGAAATCTGGTAAGGCAACTCGTGCTCCGGCGAAGGCTCCTTAGAGTGCGGAGCCCATGAATTGAGCATCGGCGAAGATACGCTCCTCAGAAGCATTTTCTGGACTGAATTGATATATTAAGAGAATTTAAAGGTTTGATTCTCGAAATAAGCCAAAGATAAGGGAGCAAATGCTTTGGCTCCGCTTCTCTGCTGCAGTTGCAGCGTTTATAAGGGAAGAAGTTGGGAAGGAGAAGAGGCGGTAAAAGGTTTCTATAAGCAGACTAAGCAGATGAACGGAGAAGATCCGGACCGTTGGATCCGACACATGGTTGTGCACGTGGGTTTTGCTGAGCTGGGTTATTAAAGATCCGTTTGGTTTGCGAGAAATTATAGGATCGATGCGAATTATCGCTCCAACTGGTTAATTTATGGTTAAAAGTAAATAAGATAAAATATATTTTATATTTAATAATAAATAAGATGCTTTTTAAATTATACATAATTCAATGACGTATAATGCATTTAATTAAATAATTAATAAGAAATATTTTTAACTAAATAATTTATTTTTAATAAAAAAAACAACGATTTAGAAGAATTACATTTTAGTACTTATATGAAAAATAATAAGACAAAAATTAATTTTTATTTAATAAATTAATATTTTTTGTATAAACATCGACATCTGATCTATTGATCGATTAATCTGGATCGTGTACTGTAGAGGTAAAGGTGACCCTTTCAACCCAATTTGCTCCATTCACAATCATAAATATTCGAACTCATGACCTTGCTTAATAAATTAAGTGTCTCATCCACTAGACCACCCGTTACGAAAGTTCTAACTTGTACCTAAAGTTTTAGTTTTAGGAAAGTTGTGGGCAATAGCTAAATTACTCGAAAACTATAAATGAGTTGATAAAAATAGAGATGAAAGGATGCTTGTCCTGTTAAGGCAGGACAGATAAACCCAGATATAATTAAGCGGACATAAGATGGTAGCATGGTTCGTGATCAAAAGAGTTGCTAGTTTTTATTATCTTAACCTGAATTTTATATAGCTTTAATCTTTTATGTTAGAGGTATTACGCGAGGCATTTAAATTAAGAGTAAACTACGTATTTAGAATCTAAATTATCAATTCTGATCTATTTTAGCATTTTAATTTTTAATTTTGTTTCAATCATACTTAATATTTAGTTTCATTTCATTTTAGTCGTTAAAAACTTAATGCATTTAGTACCTAAAGTATCAATTTTGATCCGTTTTAGTACCTAAACTTTAAAAAAAATCAAATTTTAACGTTAACTTTTGAACGGATGTACTAAAATGAAATAAAAAATAAAGTTTTTAATGGTGTGATACTGAAATGAAACAAAAACTAAACTTTACGTATAGTTTTGAAAAATTAAAAATTAAAATACTAAAATGAATTAAAAATAATAGTTAAGGTACTAAACACGTAACTTACCCTTAAATTAAATATTAGAAGTTAGATAATATGGTTGATTTTAGATAATTTACGTCATGACTAGGTTTAAAGATTGTTTTAAAAATATAGGCAAAAAAACAGAGTTTCCTATACTCTTGACAAAAAAATAATATGGGTTTCATATTAGTTGTTTTCCCCTAGGCAGTACGCTTCAAATTAAGAAAATATTTTTAATGTACCTTTTTACCAATAAATATCGTTATTGACTATCTGGTATTGATGTGACAGTTAATGTTATTGATGTAACAGTTTATTTTTTATGTTTTAGTTATTAATTTAATTCATATACAATGTCATTCACCATGTTAATAATTATCGTAGATTATTACGTCAGTAACATAATGTTTAATTATAAAAAAACATCGATCAAAGGATTATATTAAATCTATTTTCTTAATTTTAAAGACGCATTGAAAGAAAAATAATATGATTTTTTTTAAAATATAGAGACCTTTGATGTCTTCTTATCGGAAATATAAAATCGATCGCCCAACAGGACCTAAAGTCGGCAGAAAATAACAAGGTGACCATGAGCTGGAGACGAATGCAAGTACACGGTTTACATTTCGATTCAGCAACCGTCGGATCGGTACTTAAAGCACTTCGACGGTTTTGATTCAATCTCCGCACGTGACAGACAAAAAAAACCTGCAGCATTTTCATAGTGATTTTTTTTGGTTTCCGCAACGCCCACGACAAAAAGGCCCAGAGTGTTGAGGTGGAATTACGGGAGTGCCACGGGTGCACCATGAGTGGCTGACCTTGACCCAGTTGGGTAGCGAGGTGCACAGATCGAATGAAATGATACGGCAGACAGACAGGGTGGAGCCCATGGAGACCGGTGGTGAGTTATTATGGGAGGTGTCATCTCAACTGGAAACGAAAACAAAAATTTATATAAAAAGTACAAGAAATTATATTAAGAATTATAAGGGGTTAAGTTATAAAATTTTAAAGATCATTAAAATAAATAATCAATAGAAAAATAAAAAAAATATATAAAAAGATTTAAAATTTTCAAATGCAGTATAATACTCCCTCTATTTATCGTGTCGTCAACTTCAAGAGCGATTGGGTCTGGGGTGGTGGCCTATTCATTGCTTGTGTGACCCTTCAGTGGACGGACCAAACTCTCCACTCACTGATTTTTATGGGTCCCAAACCAAACTCTTTTTTTTTTTTTGAAGGAACCAAACCAAACTCTTGTCTCTACCCTAACCGATGCCTTTGTAAGGGTAACCTCGTCCTTTCCTTCTCCAATTATTCCTCAGATTTTTATTTCTATTTCTTTTAAAATATTTACCTTTTTCAATCATGTGTTCGTTCGTGGGATATATATATTAGGTTAAGGTTTTTTTAAATTAATATGAGTAAATATAACGTAATATTTATTTATAGATAATTCTTCATTATTTGACCTTTAACATTTACACTCGTGATAATATTTGAACTCTAGTAAGAATAAGAATAATAGTAATTTATTACCGATGTCATTTGGTTCGTGCTTATAATGGGTTAGGTTGAATGTAAGTTTAAGCCTTATAAATAAAAGGTAAACTACACATTTAATACCTAAATTATTATTTTTGGTTCGTTTTAATATATAAACTTTCAATTTTTTTCAAAACCATATATAATGTTTAATTTTTATTTTATTTTAGTATCCCGCCGTAAAATGTTTTACACGTTTAATGCTAAACTATCAGTTTTGGTTTCCTTTTATTGCCTAAACTTTCAATTTTTTGAAATTTAACATGAAATTTTGAACAGGACACTAAAATGTAACAAAAACAAAAATTTTGGTATCATTTAAAAAGAAAAGAAAGTTTAGGTTACTATAAACAATTAAAACTAACAATTTAAATACTAAACACATAATTTACCTTAAATTAAGTTGGATGAGATTTTTTTATTAAAATTAAAAAAATATTATACTCATATCAATTTTGAGTAGATAAAAAATTTAACCTATTTCATAATCATTCTTAAAATAAACCAACAAAATATATATTAAACATGACATCTTTATTGAAAATATGAAAGGTATAGATATACCAAATATGAAAAACAAATCATAAATGGTTGGGATTTATGAATTTGAACTTACAGGCCTAATTTCGAATTCTACCACCGTTATTCTTGGTGAATAATCTGTAAATTCTTATATAAATCACAATTGGGTAATAGATATGCCATGATTCTTGGGGAACAATTTGTAAATTCTTATATAAATCTCAATTGAGTTATAGAAATATCCTTACCCTAAAATAGAAAACCACCCTGACCTAAACTTTTTTTTGTGCCCAAAAGAAAATTTGTCTTTATAAGATTTTGATATTATGCATGTAAAAAATACATCCAAATTTTTTAGTCTTTTAAAAAATTTAATAAAATAATATTATTTAGATAAATAATCAATTTTTTAAAAAATAAGTATATTAAAGGTGTTTAACAAGCACCAAAGATTATGAAGAGATCCAACGAAATCTATTTCTTCTATTGGTTGAAGCATCATGGACGTAGCCAAAACATTTAGAGAGATATGAGAGAGTTCATTGAAACCAAGTTTATGTGATTGAGTTTCCTCGGCCTCATGCAGCACTTTCAGGATCAATCATATCATCAACTATTATTGGTGTATAATCAATTAGTTCTATTTTTTTATGCAATATCCAATTTATTTTCATAAATTTTTAAAATTATATTTAAGCACACACTTGCCTTCAAAAATTAATAACAAATCTTTAGAAAGAAATTAGGAAGAAATGCATCATAGGTTCATGTATTTTAAAAGAAACAATACAACTCTCGTATTATTCTTTCTCTTAATGTGACCCTCCAATTCAAAAAATAAGTTCAATGTGGCTCTTTGACCAAAGATTTTATTGTTGACCGTTACGATGTAATGTGACAATTTACGGTGTTGATATGACGGTCCACTATGTTGACGTGGCAGTCTACGGTGGTTGATAACGTCAGATAACATGACAAATGAACTAAATTGATAATTCAAACATGGCAGATGGACTACCACGTTAGTACTGTGGATCGTCACATCAGCGACCTGAATTGTCACATCAACGTCGTAACGGCTAAAAGACGAAAAAACGTTGGTCAAAGGACCACATTAAATTATTTTCTGAGTTGGAGACCACATTGAGAGAAAAATAATACGGGGATTTCATTGATTTTTTCTTCAAAAAATATGGACCTTTAATGTCTTTTTGTCAAGAAATTATTTAGAATTAACAATCCAAGTAATTAATAAATTTAATCGATTTAATTTACCAATTCAAAGAGTCGTATCAAAACAACCTCTATAGACAATGATGGATCGAAGGGAGACAAGTGAGGGCAGTCGCTCCTTAAAAATTTAAAATTATCATATAATTTAGATTTTTTTTATGTATTTTCTATTAAAAATATGTTCTTTCCCTTAAGACATTATAAGTTTATTTCTTCATGAAATTTCAAAAGTCCACCCCTAACAAAAGATGTTACGTTTGTCCTCTTTACAGATATAAATTAAGAATACAAACCATAAATAAACTACAAAATCATTGGCTACAATAATAATATATGCAATATTACAAAAGTAGGCAAATAGAATTTGGTTTCATAATCAACTTCCTATGGTAACATGTTAGAACCCTCCGATTAGAAATAGAAAATGGTGAGTGGTAGGGCACATTGATAGTACTTGTCATGCCATTTTCCTTTACTTTTCTCATATATTGTCGTTACTTGTAACAATAGTTAAAGTACCAAATATTGATAGACATGAATTGATTCGAGTGGTAAATAATTTAATATCATTTAAGAAATGTCTTAAATATGAGTTTTTTATGAAGAAAATTCCAACCGGGAAACATATCCATCAAAATCAGGTGTACGACGCGAATAAATCCAAATTAATTAAGACAAAGCTTTAAAACCAAGAGGACAATTAAAAAACCCAAAATTTGATGTTTGTACACAATTTGATATTGTTAAAGTGTAATGAAAGCAAATTTGTTCTTGTTTTTCCTCAATTATATATGTTTTTTAGTTCCTGATAAGGTATATAGACCTCACAATCCTTGGTTGGCGCTGTAAACATGGTCCACGCTACCATGGTCTTGTAAGTCACCACCATGCTTTATTTTATATTTGACAGAAAGAGATAAGAGGAATATGTATTTTTGAGAAAAAATTAATATAATTTTCATATTATTTTTTAACCGATGATTTTTATCAATGATCGTTATGGTGTTGATGTGGTAATTTATATTACTGACGTGATAATTCACAGTGCTGATATTACAGTCTAGTATCACAGATTAACGTAACGGAAAATATTACTGATTAGTTAAATTGGTAACTTAAACATAGTAGATGGATTGTCACGTTAGGACCGTGAACTGACACACAAATATTATAACGGTCAACGACAGAAAATATTGATCAAAAGGCCACATTGAATTTATTTTTTGAGTTAGAAGACATCGTCGAGAGAAAAATAATACGAGGGTTTCAATAATTTTTCCCGCTAAAGTACAAACACCTCTATGCCTTTTTGCATTTATTTTTAATACGATAACTTGAAGACTTCAAATAAAGAATATCTACGAGTAATATTTTACTCACTTTTAAGTGCATTATTTAAGCCCTTATATTTTTTGTGGTTTTCAATTAAACCCTCAAAACGAATATTCTATTTCATTTTAGACCGAGTCTGGGTCAGTTCAAGACTTGGTATACGAACCTTTGGTCTAGCCTTGCCGGCCGGAACCGGCTAAAAGGCCACCTTGTTCACTGCCAGGTTCTTCAAGCCTGATGACTCTAAATTTTGTTTCCAATACAGGGTTGGGGTTGAAGATGTACTTTTTTCTGGTAAGGCCTTGTTAGCTTATACGTATCTGTTCTTCGGCGAAAAGCATCCGTATATACGTCCGTATATCGTATTTACTTCATTTCTTTCACTGTGTATACAACAAAACAATGCTTTTTTATTAGACACCATCAAATTCTTCTGTTTTGAGGTTATGATTCCATTAGACATCTGATCCTATGTTTTCATCATGCTGACAACGCTAGTGTCCTTACTAACATTTTATATAATTATTTTTAAAGAGTAAATTTGACACTATTAGTTCATTTTAGTATCTAAATTTTTATTTTTTTAAATCATACATAAAGTTTAGTTTTTGTATTATTTTAGTGCACATGTTCAAAATTTAACGTTACGTTTTGAAAAAAAATTAAAAGTTTAGGTACTAAAATAGATCAAAACTGATAGTTTAAGTACTAAACGCATTAAATTTTTAATGTTGGGATGCTAAAATGAAACAAAAACTAAAAATTAAATATGATTTTGAAAAAAATTAAAAATTGAATAAGATATACTCCATTATTTAAAGAAAATGTCTTTAAATTAGACGGCATTAACGAATATTGTAAATAAAGATAAGATATACTCTATTATTTAAAGAAAATATCTTTAAGCTAATGAAATAATTAAAAAGGCGTTGATAAATACCTTTGACTGAAAAGGGCATATAAGGCATGTGGGAATGTTTATTTCTCAAATTAATGCAGTCAGGCGATTAATTCTTCAAATGGGGTGATTGTTACAGGACTACATGCAGTGTGTGAGATATCTCGGCGTCTTCAGGGTTGGATTAGATCTCTCGATGTCTTCAGGGTTGGACCAGATTTCAGAAAAAAAAGTTGGCATTTTTACATAAATATCACCTTAATCGAAATTAATTACTTGTTAGACATGTTTAAGAATATTTTACAGATCTAGTAAAATTTTAAATATTTTATATAAAATTATTCCTACATTAAATTACACAATACAATTATGTCTACCAATTATCACTTGACACTTTCTGATGTGTTTTTGACCCTTTCAAAATCATATACGTATAGTATATTATAGGAAAACTTTGAGGGTAAGTAATTTAAAATATAAATAATTTTATAAAATATTACGGATCATCATCATCATTTTGAAAAATTATTTTGCAGAAAGGCACGACACATGCATCGCATAAGTTTTTGAAATGATCAAAAACGCATCAGAAAATGTCAAGTGGTAATTAGTAGACATATTGTATTGTGTAATTTAATGCAGAAATAATTTTATAGAAAATATTTAAAAATTCGCTAGATCCGTAAAATATTCTTAAACAGTACTAACAAGTAATTAATTTCTGTTAAGGTAATATTTGTGTATAAACGTCAACTTCTTTTTTCTGCTAAAGACGCCCGGATTTTAACAATGGAATTCACCCTAAAGACACCGTGAAATCTGGTCTAACCCTGAAGACACTGAGAGATCCCAAACACTGCATGTAATTATATAGCAATCACCCCTTTTGAAGAATTAATCGTCTGACTGCATTAGTTTG